CCAAAAATACCCCCAAAACACCCCTGAGAGCCCCCCCAAAAATGCCCCCAAATCACCCCTGAGAGCCCCCCAAAAACATCCCTGAGAGCCCCCCAAAAATGCCCCCAAATCACCCGAGAGCCCCCCAAAACCCCCGAGAGCCCCCCAAAAATGCCCCCAAATCACCCCTGAGAGCCCCCCAAAAACCCCCCAAAACATCCCTGAGAGCCCCCCAAAAATACCCCCAAAATACCCCTGAGAGCCCCCAAAAATACCCCCAAAACACCCCTGAGAGCCCCCCAAAAAATGCCCCCAAAATACCCCTAAGAGCCCCCAAAAATACCCCCAAAATACCCCTGAGAGCCCCCCAAAAACCCCCCAAAACACCCCTGAGAGCCCCCCAAAAATGCCCCCAAAATACCTCTGAGGGCCCCCCAAAAATACCCCCAAAACACCCCTGAGAGTCCCCAAAAACCCCCCAAAATACCCCTGAGAGCCCCCCAAAAACCCCCAAAATACCCCCGAGATCACCCCTGAGATGCCCCCAAATCCCCCCTGAGAGTCCCCCAAAAAACTCCAGAGACCCCCCCCAAATCCCCCACCCTTTTCCCCAGAGCGCCCCCAGACCCAAAATCCTCCCAAACACCCCCCAGGGATCCCCAAAATCCATTAAGGATCCCCCAAAAACCCCCCAGGACCCCTCAAAATCCCTTAGGGACCCCCCCTCAAATCCTCTTGGGACCCCCAGGAGTCCCCCAGGACCCCCCAGTTCTCTTTAGGGACCCCCCCAAAATCCCCCAGGACCCCCCAAACCCCCCAGGACCCTTTAGGGAACCCCCAGTTCCCTTTAGGGACCCCCCAAGACCTCCCAACATCTCCCACGACCCTCGAGAGACCCCCAGGACCCCCCAAAATCCCTTAGAGACCCCCCCGGGAGCCCCAAAATCCCTTAGGGACCCCCCAAGAACCCCCAGGACCCCTCTAGAGCCCCCCAGGACCCCCCAAAACCCCTCAGGACCCCCCAAAACCTTTTAGGGACCCCCAAAGACCCCCGAAGTGCCCCCAGGATCCCCCAAAGCCCTCAGGACACCCCAAAACCTCCCTGAGGATCTGCCCCTCCCCCACCTCCAGCAGCAGCCCCTCCCCCTCCTCGGGGGGGCGGAGCTCCAGGGTCACGCGGTGCGGGGGGAGGGGCCCGAGCCCGGCCCGGTGCAGCTCCAGCTCTGGGGGGGGAGGGGCGGGGTCAGCAAGGGGGGAGGGGCAAAATGGGGGGAGGATTTGGGGCCTGGCCCCTCCCCCTCCACGGCCCCCTCCCCTCCCCCACCCCGGTATTTTTGGTATCTCCCCTCCCGGAAGTTGCTCTTTCCAACCCGGAAGTCCCTTTTTCCTCTCCCGAAAGTTGCTCTCCCTTTCTGCCGGAAGTTGCTCTTCTCCCCCCGGAAGTTGCTGTCACCACCACCACAAGTTGCTCTTCCCTGCCCCAGAAGTCGTTTTCCTCCCTTTCCCGGAAGTTTCTGTCCCCTCCACCGGAAATTGGTGTCTGCTGCGCCGGAAGTTGCTATTTGCAACCCAGAAGTTCTTTTTTCCACTCCCGGAAGTTGCTCTCCTTCCCCCGAAAGTTGCTCTCCCTTACTGGAAGTTGCTCTCCCCACCCCCGGAAATTCCTCTCCCACCATGGGAAGTTGCTTGACACCTCCCCGGAAGTTCTTTTTTCCACTCCCGGAAGTTGCTCTCCCCTGCCCAGAACTTGCTTCCCCTTCCCCGGAATTGATCTCCCCTCCCCGGAAGTTGCCCTCTGCCCCCGGAAGTTCCTCTCCCACCACGAGAAGCCACTCTCCACCTCGACGGAAGTTGCTCTTTCCACCCCAGTTCTTTTTTCTACTCCCGGAAGTCGCTTTCCCCTTCCCCAGAAGTTGTTCCCCTTCCCCAGAAGTTGTTCTCCTTCCCCGGAAGTTGATCTTCGTTTCCCAAAAGTTCTCCCCCCGGAAGTTGCGCTCTCTCCCCCTTCCCAGAAGTTGCTTTTCCAACCCGAAGTTCGTCTCTCCCTCCCCGGAAGTTGCTTCTCCTCCTCCAGAACTCATCTCCCTTCCCCGGAAGTCTCTCTACACCTCCCGGAAGTTGCTCTTCCCCCCCCAAATTTTGCTCTGCCCCACCGGAAGTCTTTCTAGCGCCCCCGAAGTTGCTTCCTCTATCCCGGAAATTGCTCTTTCCCCCCGGAAGTTGCTTTTCTTCCCCTGGTAGCTGCAATTCTTGCCCCGGAAGTTGGTCTCTCCCTCCCCGGAAATTTCTCCCCTGGAAGTCTCTCCCCTTCCCCGGAAGTTGCTCTCCTCCACCGGAAGTTGTTCTCCCTCCCCGGAAGTTACTTTCTCCTCCGGAAGTTGGTCTTCCCTCCCCAAAAGTTCCTCTGCGCCCGGAAGTTGCTCCCCCATGCCCAGAAGTGGCTCTCACCCTCCCCAGAACCTGCTCTCCCTTCCGGGAAGTTGCTCCCCCTCTCCCGGAACTGATCTCCCTTCCCCGGAAATCGCTCCAACACCACCAGAAGTTCTTCCCCCACCCCCCCCCGACATCGCTTTCCCTCCCTGGAATTGATCTCCTTTGCCCCGGAAGTTCCTCCTCTCCCCCTGGAAGTGGCTCCCTCCCACCGGAAGTTCCTCTCCCCCCAGAAATGGTTATCTCCTCCCCCAGAAACTGCTCTCTCCCACCGGAAGTTTCTCTCTCCCCCCCGGAAGTTGCTGTCCCCAACCGGAAGTTCCTCCTCCCCAGAAGTTCCTCCTCCTCCCCCCGGAATTGGAATTGGCTCCTCCCTCCCACCGGAAGTCCCTCCCCCCACCGTTAGTGTCTCTCTCACCCTCCCGGAAGCGCTGGCTGTCGAACGGCTGCAGCAGCGCCCCCGGCTGGAGGGGCCCGTGGGGGGCGTGGGGCCCCCTCACCACGGCGGGGGCGGGGCCGTGCCCGGGGCGCAGGCGCAGGAAGAGCCCCCGGGGGGCGCTGCTGAGCAGCAGCCCCGGCCCCGCCCGCAGCGGCAGCACCAATCGCGGCAGCGGCGGCGGCGGCGCCCCCTGGCGGCCGGGAGGGCTCAGCAGGTACTCGCCCGGAGGCGCCGCCCCCTGCCAGGCCTGGGCGGGGCCTCGGCGCAGCCGCAGCAGCAGCGCAGCGTCCCCTGCGGGAAAGGGGCGGGGTCAGCGCGGGGGAAGGGGCTAAAGGTGGGGAGTGGGCGTGGCTAAAGGGTGGGGTATAAATGAAAAGGGCGAGGTCACAGTGAGGGGGCGGGGCTAAACCTGGGGAGTGGGCATGGCTAAAAGTTTATTAGGAATGAAAGGGCTGGGGTCACTGTGATGGGTGGGGCTAATGGTGGGGAGTGGGGCGTGGCTAAAGGGTGAATTAGGAATTAAAGGGGCGGGGCTAAAGGTGGGGAGTGGGCGGGGCTAAAGGAGGTGGAGTGGAAATGAAAGTGGTGGGGTCAGGGCAAGGGGTGTAGCTAAAAGGGGTATAAATAAAAGGGGCGGGGTCACCATGAGGGGCAGGGCTAAAGGGTGGGGTATGATGAAAGGGGCGGGGTCACAGTGAGGGGCGGGGCTAAAGGTGAAAAGTGGGGCATGGCTAAAGGGGGTGGGAATGAAAGGGGCGGGGCCACAGAGGGTGGGGCTGGAGCCAAAGCTCTGTAGGTCCCTGCGTTTGGGGGAGGAGCCAATACTGTGTCAGTGTTGGGGGCGTGGTAAGATTTAGCTCCTCCCCTTTTGGGGTGTGGCTTACCATCTGCAGGGGGGAGGGGCTCTGCGCTCTCCACCTCGATGCGCAGGGGCAGCACTTCTGGGGGCGGAGCCTCTGCTAAAAGGGCGTGGTCAGGCAGAGGCCACACCCTGTAGCTCTACCCCCAGGGCCACCCCACCCCCAGGATTGGCCCAGCACCGCCCCCATCCCCCCCCTCACCGGGCTTTTCCTCATCCGTGGTTCCATCCTGGCTCTCTGGGGGTGGGGTCGGTGGGAGGGGCTCTGTAGGGCTCAGCCCCGCCTCCTTCTGGCTCTGCCGGCCCTTGGGGGGCTTTGGCTCTGTTGGGGGGTGGCACTGAGAGGGTTAACACGGCTCTGACCCCTGCTCCCCTCCCCCTGCCCGTCCGGTGCCCTGTTTGGCCCCACCTCCGGTGCTCCTCTGGTTTGGTTCCCCCATCTCGGGGCACCCCCAGCCCCAACAGCCTCCCCCACTTGGGACCCGTCCTGATTTGGGGGTTCCCCACATCCAGTCCTGTTCCCTCATTTCCAGCGTTCCTCCATATTGAGTCCCCATTTCCTTTGTCCCCCCCCTTTTCTGGTGTGTCTCCCAATATTCGGTCCCCGTTTCCTATGTGTCCCCCCATATTCAGTCCCCTCATTCCATTTCTCTTTTGTCCCTCCATATTCAGTCCCTATCTCCAGTGTATCCCCCCCATATTCAGTCCCTCCTCTCCATTTCCAGTGTGTCTCCCCATAATGAGTTCCCATTTCAGCTGTGTCCCCCCATATTCAGTCCCCTCCCCCTTTTTCCAGTGTCCCGTCTATAGTCAGTCCCCTCATTAAATTTCCCTTGTGCCCCTCCATATTCAACCCCCATTTCCTGTGTGTCCCCATATTCAGACCCCTCATCCATTTCTGGTGTGTCCTCCCATATTTTGTCCTCTCACACCATATCCCATGTCCCCTCCTATATTCAGTCCTTCGATCCCATTTCCTCTCTGTCCCCATATATTCAGTCCTCACTCTCCATTTCCCATTTTCCCCCCCATATTCAGTCCCCTTTTCACGTGTGTTCCTCCATATTCAGCCCCCACTCCCCATTTCCTGTGTGTCCCCCCAAAATGAGTCCCCATTTCTGGTGTGTTCCTCCATATTCAGTCCCCACTCTCCATTTCCCTTGTGTCTCCCCATATTCCATCCCCATTTCCGGTGTGTCCCCCTATTTTCAGCCCCCATTTCTGGTGTGCCCCCAAATATTCAGTCCCCATTTCTGGTGTGTCCCTCCATATTCCATAACCATTTCCGGTGTCCCCTCCATATTCAGTCCCCATTTCCTGTGTGTCTGCATATAATGAGTCCCCATTTCTGGTGTGTCCCCCCATATTCACTCCCCCCACCCCATTCCCTGTGTCTCCCCAATCTCCATCCCCCATTCGATGCCCCCATTTCCCGTTCCCCCCCATTCCATCCCCCCCATTCCCATTCCCGCTCCCTTTCCCATCCCCGCTCCCGTTCCCGGTTCTCACCGCGGGCGGGCAGCACCCGGTACACGCGGTATGGGCAGGGCCCGTCGGAGCGGCCCCGCCCCGGCAGCTGCCGGAACTCGGGGCTCCGGGCCAGGGCGCAGCGCAGCCGCGTCTTCCAGCCCGCGGGGTCGGGGGGGTCCCCGGGCCGCAGCCGCCCCTTGTACTCCGCCCATGCCTGCCGGGAGCAGCGCCGTCACGACACGCCCACTGCCACGCCCAGCTCATTTCCATAGCGCGGCCCCCGCCCCAATCTCGCACTTTGCATGGCTCCGCCCAATGCGCAAATCCCCGCCCCGCTGCTGTCCAGGCCCCGCCCCCACCAGGTTCCTTCAGCAGAGGGGGCGTGGCTCAAGCCCCGCCTCCTCCCATGGCTTTGCTTAGCGTGCGCCCGCCCATAGCCCCGCCCTCTTCTTAGCTCCTCCCTCTTTCACAGCCTCTAAGCCCCGCCTCTCAGCCAGGCCCCGCCCATCACCTTACAGAGTTCTGTCCCCCACTTTTGCGAAGCCCCGCCCATCTTTATTAGCCCCGCCCCCACCGTGCCGGGCCCCGCCCCCTCTCTGAAGAGCCCCGCCCCTGACCCTGCAGGCTGAGCCCCTCACTACATAGCACCGCCCCTCAGTCTGTATAGCCCCGCCCCTCTGTGTAGCCCTGCCCCTGACACTGCAGGCTCCGCCCCTCACTACATAGCCCCGCCCCCTTATGCAAAACCCCGTGTGGTGCACAGCCCCGCCCCCAGCCCCGCTCCTACTCTATAGAGCCCTGCCCCTCGGTCGCTATAGCCCCGCCCACAGCCTGCAGAGCACCTCCCCAGCCCCGCCCCTCATTCTGCAGAGCCCCGCCCCTCGGTCGGCATAGCCCCACCCATCACTCTGCCGAGCACCACCCCCACCCTGCATAGCCCCGCCCCTACCCTGCAGAGTGCAATCCCTGCCCCATCGCGAGCCCCGCCCCTCACTGTCCCTCACTGTGCATAGCCCCGCCCCTTGCTCGCTGCAGCCCCGCCCCTCGGTGCTATAGCCCCACCTCACACAGCGCCGTCCTCAACCTGTCTAGCCCGCCCCTAGTTTGCATAGTGTGGCCCTGACCCCTCGGTCACAGTAGCCCCGCCCCTACTTTGCATAACTCCGCCCCGCCCCACAAAACCCGCCTCTACGCCGAAGCCCCCGCCCCTTCTTTGCAGAGCACCGCCCCCGCCCCGTCGCTGCTCACTCCCCTCTCTGTGCATAGCCCCGCCCCTCGTTGTTATAGCCCCGCCCCTACTCTGCATAGCGCCGCCCCCGCCCCGTCGCGAGCCCCGCTCCGCCCGCCGTGCGCCCACGGGATCCGCAGCGCCGTCCGTGCCGCGTCGTCCCACTGCAAACCGGGGAAGCGCCCGCTCTGCAGCTGGGCCAGCAGCCACGGGCGGAGCCGCCGCGGGCCGCCCTCCGCCATCCCGGGCACCGGGAGAGACCCGACAGCGGCGGGGACAGCAGGGAGAGAGGGGAGGGAAGGGGACAGAGGGACAGAGGAGACAGCGGGGAGACAGGGGACAGCGGGACAGGGGGACAGAGGGACAGGAGGATGAGAGGGGACAGAGGGGAGAGAGGGGACAGAGGGACACGCGAGGGACAGGGGGAAAGAGGGACAGAGGGGAGAGAGGGACGGGGGGGACAGAGGGACAGAAGGGACAGCGGGCGGACAGAGGGACAGAAGGACAGGAGGGAGAGAGAGGACAGCAGGGACAGAGGGGAGACAAGGGAGAGAGGGACAGAGGGGGGAGAGACGGGACAGCGGGGACAGGAGGGGACAGATGGACAAAGGGACACTCGAGGGACAGGGGGAAAGAGAGAGAGATGGGGGACAGAGGGGAGAGAAGGGACAGAGGGACAGCAGAGACAGGGGGGACAGGGGGAGATAAGGACAGAGAGAAAGAGGGACAGGGGGCACAGAGGGACAGGGGGGACAGAGGGACGGGGGCACAGAGGGACAGGGGGCACAGAGGGACAGGGGGGACAGAGGGACGGGGGCACAGAGGGACAGAGGGGCAAGCGGAGGGACTCAGGTTCGATCCCGGGTCTCGGTGGAGCTCAGCGGTCCCGGACTCGCCGAGCGGCGCCCGCGCTTCCGGGAACTGACATCACCGCGACGGCCACGTGATCCCCGCCGCCAATCAGCGGGAGGCCTCACGGCACCGCCCCCGGCGCGAGGGGGAGTGGCAGCGCCGCGCGGGAGTTCCCGGAATGGGGCGGGGCTAAAGCGCACGGTACCGACTGTATTTGCATAAAGGGGCGTGGCTAAAGCGCACCGCACCGACTGTGTTTGGATAAAGGGGCGTGGTTAGAACACACAGCACCATATTTGTATAAAGGGGCGTGGTTATCGCACAGAGAGCCGCCTCTGTGTTTGCATAAAGGGGCGTGGTTATAGCGGACAGAACCGCCTTTTTATTTACATAAAGAGGCATGTGTATAGCTCACGGTATCACCTCTTCATTTACATAAAGGGCGTGGTTATAGATCATGGTACCGGCTCTGTGTTTGCATAAAGGGGCGTGGCTACAGATCATGTTGCCGACTGTTTCAAAAAAGGGGCGTGGTCTGTATTTGCATAAAGAGGTGTGGGTAATGCTCACAGTATCGCCTCCGCATTTGCATAAAGGGCCGTGGTTATAGTGGACAGAACTGCCTCTTTATTTGCATAAAGAGGCGTGGCTATAGCTCATGGTATTGCCTCTATATTTGCATAAAGGGGCGTGGTTACAGAGCATAGTACCGGCTCGGTATTTGCATAAAGAGGCATGGGTATAGCTCACAGTATCACCTCTGCATTTGCATAAAGGGGCGTGGTTACAGTGTATACATTCCTGTATTTGCATAAAGGGGCGTAGCCGTAGCTCATTGAGTCCTATTTGCATGAAGGGGCGTGGTTTTCATGCACAGCTCCGCCTCTGTATTTGCATAAAGGGGCGTGGCTGGCACACTACACCAGCTCTGCATTTTCATAAGGGGCGTGGTCAGCGCACGGCACCTCCCTTGTATTTGCATAAAGGGGAGTGGTTCTAACTCTCGGAACATCATATTTGCATAAAGGGGCGTGGCTCTTGTGCACGGTACCCTTTTTTGTATTTGCATAAAGGGGCGTTTTCTTACACATTTGCATAATGGGGTGTGTCCGTTTGTGCAAGCCCCGCCCCCTTTCCCCTAATTCGCTGCCCGGGCCCCCCTAAAGACCGAGCTGAGATTTTGGGGTCCCCCTGGGACCCCGAGAGGTCTCCTCGATCCCAGGGACACAATTTGGGGGGGCACACACAAACTGGGGGGTTCGCACCCAGATTTTGGGGGCTCACACCAACATTTAGGGGTTCAAACCCAGATTTTGGGGGGTCACACACAGATTTTGGGGTCACACCCACATTTGGGGGCTCACACAGATTTGGGATTCTCACACTCAGATTCTGGGGTTCTCACACCCGGATTTTGGGGTCACACCCACTTTTAGGGGGTCACACTCAGATTTAGGGGTTCACAACCAGATTTGCGGGGAGTCTCACACAGATTTGGGGGGCTCACATCCAGATTTTGGGGAGTGTCTCACCTGGATTTAGGTGGGTCAGAGAGATTCAGGGTCACGGCCAGATTTTGGGGTCCCACCCACATTTTGGGGTTCACACCCGGATTTTGGGGGGTCTCACACAGATTTGGGGGGGGGGGGTCACACCCACATTTAGCGTCTCACACACCGATTTTGGGGTCTCGCACCCCACATTTGGGGTCTCACACAGATTTTGGGGTCTCGCACCCAGATTTAGGGTCTCACACAGATTTTGGGGTCTTACACTCAGATTTGGGACTCTCACACAGCTTTATCGCCCACCCCCCACACTGGGGGGTCCGGGGAGGATTTTGGGGGGGTCTCACCTGACCCCCGCCCCTCCCCCGCTCCCCGCGCCCCCCCCCTGCGCCCCCCCAGCATCGGGGGCTCCGGACATCATGAGGAAGAGCACGATGGGGATGATGTACATCCACTGTGGGGAGAGGGGAGGGGGTCAGCACAAAATCAGCCCCAAAATCACCCATAATCCAGCCCAAAACACCCCCAAAATAAGTCCAAAATCAGCCCTGATCACCCCAAAATCACCCCAAAATCAGCCCAAATTCAGCCCCAAAACACCCCCCCAAAACGACTCCAAAATCAGGCCCAAATAACCCTAAAATCCACCACAATACCCACCCCAAAATAAGCCCAGGTCACCCCAAAATCAGCCCCAAATCCACCCCAAAATCAGCCCAAATAACCCCCTCCAAAATCCACCCAAAAATCAGCCCAAATCACCCCAAAATCCACCTCAGAATCAGCCCAAATCCACCCCAAAATCAGCCCCGATTATCCCAAAATCCACTCCAAAATCAGCCCCAAATCAGCCCCAAAATCTACCCCAAAATCAGCCCAGATCACCCCAAAATACACTCTAAAATCAGCCACAAATTACCCCTAAATCCACCCAAAACCCACCCCAAATCAGCCCCAAAATCGGCCCAAAAATCACTCCAAATCACCCCAAAACCCACCTCAGAATCACCCCAAAACCCACCCCAAAAATCCACCCCAAAACCACCCCAAAGTCCACCCAAAATAAGGCCCAAATCAACCCAAAATCACCTCAGATCACCCCAAAAATCCACCCCAAATCAGCCCCTGATCACCCCCAAATCCACCCCAATACCCACCCCAAAATAAGCCCAGATCACCCCAAAATGAGCCCAATCCACCCCAAAATCAGCTCAAAATCCACCCCAATATCAGCCCAAAATCCACCCCAAAATCACCCAGATCACCCCAAAATAAGCTCAGATCACCCCAAAATCAGCCCAATCCACCCCAAAATCAGCTCAAAATCCACCCCAATATCAGCCCCCAAAATCTGCCCAAATCGACCCCAGAATCTCCCCCAAAATCAGCCCAAAAACCACCCAAAGCCACCCCAAAAACCACCCCAAAATCAGCCTATATCACCCCAAATAAACCCTAAAATCCACCCCAAAATCAGTCCCAAATGGGAAATGAGGGGGGAGAGTCACCCCAAATCCACCCCAAAATCAGCCTATATCACCCCAAACCACCCCAAAATCACCCAGATCACCCCAATATCAGCTCCAAAATCCACCCCAAATCAACCCAAAATGTGCCCCCAAAATCAGCCCAAATCTGCCCAAAATCAGCCCCGAAGTACCCCTAAACCCACCCAAAATCAGGCCAAAAATCAGCCCAAAATCACCCCAAGATTCACCTCAGAATCACCCCAAAATTCACCCCAAAATCAGCCCCAAATCACCCCCCAAATCACATCAAAATCACCCCAAAATTCACCCTAAAATCAGCCCAAAATCCACCCCAAAATTCACCCCAGAACCCATCCAAAATCAGCCCCAATATCAGCCCAAATCACCCGAAAATCCACCCAGAATGAGCCCAAATCACCCCAAATTCCACCCCAAAATCAGCCCAAATAACCCCAAAATTCGCCCCAAAATCACCCCAAAATCAGCCCAAACTCCCACCCCAAAATTACTCAAAATCAGCCCCAAATAACCCCAGAATCACCCCAAAATCCATCCCAAATCAGCCCCAAATCACTCCCGCAAAATCAGCCCCAAAACAACCCCAGAACACCCCAAAATCCACCCCAAAATCAGGTGGTTTTGGGGTGTCAGGGTGGGATTTTGGGGTGTCAGGGCGTATTTTAAGATGCCCCAGATGTTTTTTGGGGTGCCCAGGTGTTTTTGGGGTGCCCAGATGTTTTTGGGGTGCCCCAGGTGGTTTTTGGGGTGTCCCTCACGTATTTGGTGAAGAAGGATTTCAGGGTGTTTTTTGGGGTGCTTTTGGGGTGTTTTTGGGGTGTCCCAGGTGGGTTTTGGGGTGTTTTGGGGGTGGTTTTGGGGTGTTTTTGGGGTTTCAGGGCTGGTTTTGGGGTGGTTTTGGGGTGTTTTTGGGGTGTCAGGGTGTTTTTGAGGTGTTTTTGGGGTGTTTTTGGGGTGGTTTTTGGGGTGTCAGGGTGTTTTTGGGGTGTTTTTGGGGTTTCAGGGCTGGTTTTGGGGTGGTTTTGGGGTGTTTTTGGGGTGTCAGGGTGTTTTTGAGGTGTTTTTGGGGTGTTTTTGGGGTGGTTTTTGGGGTGTCAGGGTGTTTTTGGGGTGTTTCGGGGGTGTTTTTGGGGTGTCCCTCACGTATTTGGCAAAGAAGGATTTCAGGGTGTTTTGGGGGTGTTTTTGGGGTGTTTCGGGGGTGTTTTCGGGGTGTTTTGGGGTGTCCCTCATGTATTTGGCAAAGAAGGATTTCAGGGTGTTTTGGGGGTGTTTTTGGGGTGTTTTTGGGGTGTTTCAGGGTGTTTCTGGGGTGTTTTTGGGGTGTCCCTCACGTATTTGGCGAAGAAGGATTTCTGCTCCTGGGGGTTGCGGGCGCGCTGGGCCTGCTCCTGCTCCAGG